TGCTGCGCATAGTAAACGGCGACTGCTGCGAGGCGAGTTTGCACTGTTGTAGATACATCTCGATATGTATCCAAGAGTCACGGTCTGAGCTCCAGGCGATTTCAAATCATTCCGTTCCCGGTAGCTCACCGCCAATCAAAACTACAAACCTTCAAAATTATCCCGTTTAAAGTACAGCTATGATTACCTGTATTTATCACTGAGCGTTATCTGAAGGTCAGTAAACCACAAGTGGAAAATAATGAAATCAAAACTATGATTCGACACTAAATCACGTGCAGAATACAACGAGCTCCATTTCTCAACTTTGATTTTATCATCTCAAGGCAATGGATTGACCTTTAGGTAAAACCGTTGCCTTTCAATAGCAGTCTCTGAAATCCCTGAAGGCATGCAAGTCTGAGGTAGCCAAAGATGCTTGAAATCACGAACCGTCGTAACTGCGTGAACCTAGCGTAACTTAGCATAAAGCGGAAGCAATAGGCTACATTTTAAGAACAAATGTTTTGGTGCCAAGGCTATACCATGTCAAGATTCCGTGTTTTCATTTCCGGTCACGCCATATTCCTCGTTTGTAAAAAAAGGCCGGTGGTTTCTCTGTCGCATGTTTTTTGAACCATGTTGAAGATTAAATGCACGATTGTGACACAAAGAATCGCTACCACTAGGACATGAACTGATGAATGATTTAGAAGGGAAAACGGAGTGTTTTTTTTCAACGCAATTGCTGTTGGATCTGTGCCACATAATATGAAATGATGTCTTGCCTGCGGAGATGGCAGACACCCACCTGTCCGACGTAGCTTTTTATCTCCGACATCACCACACTTCACAAATGCGAAGTTGCTTGGCTAGCCCATTACCAGTGTCACGTTCCAGTTACCAGATTTCCGTCGTCCGACTTTAACTCCTCTATTGACGTTAATTGAAGCAGAGACGCCAGGCTGCTTTGGGGGAATAAATTTAAAACTTAAAGTGAGGCTCACGAACTCAGGAGATACTGACAATAACAAATCCTGTACGGCAAAATGCGTTGAGAATCCGCATTCCAGCTGGCATGTGCGGAGAACAGAGTGTGTGAGGAACTACCTTACGTGCGTTGCAGTAAATATCATATCACTATGACGTACGTGTGTGTGTGTGACATATGTGACATGATATTTGTGACATTTGTGACATATTGACATATGTGACATGATATGTGACATAGTGACATGATATTGTCATGAAGGTCGTCTGGTCAATAGTGTTGTTGAACAGCAATCAGTAAGTTGCTAAATACACCGCATCGAATGCTCGTTCGGTCGCGGAAAACAACCATGTGATGTAGGCACTTCTGATATCTCAAATTATATTTCTGATCACACTCACCACCATTGAATCCGTTATTGCAAAAAACGAAGACAGCAGACTGAACTCGATAACCACTTTGCATAGTTTGAAATCAGCACCGGGAAAATAAAGTAAAATCATACTTGACACACCTAGCCGTCAAAAGCCGAGCACACCAACATTGCATCCACCCCTGTCCGGCTTGCGTGGTTGCCTGAGCGTCCCGCCCATCGATTATTTTGCCGCATGGATCAACAGGCCAGCCTGTGTCGGGCTGAAGCACTATTCAAATGCATCTCGTACTCGCACGTCCGGGGCGTCCGTTGCCGGTGCAGTGTTGTCCCTCCTGGTGACTCGGGTCGCTGGTGGGTCGGTGGCGTTACTTTGGAGAAGAGAGATTGTTTTATGGAGCATACCCATCATTGCCCTTGACAAAGGTTAACCATGACAATCAAGATAAGTTGTAAACGTGATTTAAAGTGTTTTGATTTCTGTGTTATCAACTTTGTCTGATGTCAATAAGCATACACAAATGAACTGAATAAAAATGCAAGTTGAAACCAGCCCAAAAGTAGCTTTATCATGTTTTTTATCACAAGTGCTGCTGTTAACATATAGGTGAGTTGAGATTATGTTCAACATATGGGCTACTCCAAATTAGTTAAAGTTGGTTAAGTGCATGGCGTGTGACAATTGGAATTCTGCAAGAATCAGTAACTCACAACTGCTGCCGTGATACAAACAGGATGAGGATCACAGGATGAGACAAAGTAAGGCCTCTTTATGTTAGGCATAGTTAGGCTGCTTTCATGCAAATAAGCATTGGTACTTTGTAAGAAACAGTGACAAAATGTTTGTTTTCCCTGACACAAACTTAACAGAAGCCAGAGGTATGTCTATTGTGTTTGACTTAGTGATGGGCTGATGAGTAGGAGTCCACAGTCTTCTTTGTTTAAATGTGTCATGCTTGTTGAATTTTTGGTTGTTATTTTGTTATTGAATTCCTTTGTCTGTTTTGTGTTAAAAGTACTTTGGAAAGGAAGTGCAAAGTGCAGCATGAAGCTATCGGTGTTAATAATTTGTTATGCTCATTACACAGCCGTAAAATTACTATGCTTTAATATATTCTGTTTCACTTTAATGGCCTAACATGTTAAGATCAAAAAAAGGTTTGTCAAGTTTCTGATATTATGGCCATGCCAACATGAAATAGATGTCTTTGTTTGCCGAAGCATCAGTCAGGAGCTCATGAGTGTCATCTTTTGTTAATTTATTTTTTACTCCCGCACGGTCTTTTCGCAGTATAATTTTTCACTCCCACCCCATTTCAAAAGCCATTCTAGCCTCCCTGCTCGAACAAGTCGTCCAGCACAGTTCTGCGTCGCAAACCGCCTCGAAAGCCGCCGCCGCCCTGTTCACGTAGTCATTCCCGACCAACCGTTTGCGTGCGTATGACACAACACAAAATGTGACAGATAAACAGACAGACTTTTATTCTTTTCCATATCATGTTTATAGAGTGCTGGTACGGCGGCTTTGCATTACGCTACCCCCCCCCCCCCCCCCCCCCTTTCGTAGCATGTTTTGCTAGCTGCATGTCATGCAAGTACATTTGCGTAGTTGTTTGTGTTGTATGTTGGTGATGGGTGCCGTGTAAAAGACTCCACGTAGTGGGTAAGCCCATGGGTGCTCATATCGAATAGGTAACGGGCAGAGGTGGGCATACATTTAAGGGTTTTTATGGGTTCGGGTACTGGTAAGGCTAGAGCATGTGTGAATTATCGGGTAAAGGCTTCAAGAATACTATACCATTTCAATCCTTGCAATTGTTTTAGTAATGATTAACTACATTCACTCTACGTCTGTATATATATATATATATATTATATATATATTATATATAGATAGATAGATAGATAGATAGAAGATAGATAGATAGATAGATAGATAGATAGATATATATCTAGATATATATATATATATAGATAATAGATATATAGATATATAGATATATAGATATATAATAATAGATAGATAGATATATATATATATATATATATATATATATATATATATAGATATATAGATATAGATATAGATATAGATTATAGATATGATATAGATATAGATATAGATATAGATATAGATAGAGATATAGATAGAGATAGAGAGAGAGAGAGAGAGAGAGAGAGAGAGAGAGAGAGAGAGAGAGAGAGATATATATATATATATATATATATATATATATATATATATATATATATATATATATATACATATATAGGAACGCGTGCGTGTGTGTGTGTGTGTGTGTGTGTGTGTGTGTGTGTGTGTGTGTGTGTGTGTGTGTGTGTGTGTGTGTGTGTGTGTGTGTGTGTGTGTGTGTGTGTGTGTGTGTGTGTGTGTGTGTGTGTGTGTGTGTGTGTGTGTGTTTCGTGACTACTGCGTTGCAAAATAAGTATGAATGACGTGGTCCATCCAATTTAGGCCACCAAAGCATTCAGTGACGAGTGGAAATCATCTTGCCGTGCCAATAGATCTGAAGGGTCTGAAGGGTCTGGTTGTGCGGTCTCTTTGCCGTCTTCGGTTGAGACACAAACACGCGACACATCCACTTTATCTATGGGGCCAGGATACGCCACAGGGCATGGATTGTGGGGAGCGCTTGACCGTAGCACATGTCCTCATTACGCGCCTACATAGTGCTGCGTATTATCGTCGTTACTTCACAGCGCCACTCTCTTGGCTTTTGGGTCCTAGCAGCGTTGCGACACAGCTGATGTACTTTTCACTTTTAAGTACTTTTTCTTCGTGCATTGCAGGGCCGTCCGAAAGCGCAGGTGTGTGACGAGGAGCTTGCCGTTATTGAGGAGACCTCGAATAAGTCGTCCGGCATAGTTCTGCGCCGCCTGGCGATGGTATCCTTAGCACACATTCATTCGGGACGCGTCGGTTCCCTGTCACGAGGAAAACTACAACATGTTCAAGATGTCCTCAGGGAGGCTCAATTTATTCCTCGAAGTCGTACATCCACAGTTTTGGCAAGCGAAATCATGCGTCTACGATCTGGCTCTGGGACGCGACTCAAACGCCACCTAGCTGCCGCCGCCGATACTAACGGAAAAAACTGCCGGTGGGGTCGCTGGTGGCGGACGACAAACAGGTCACGTTTCAGGTGGGGTTCCAGGCCCGTCACGTGACCTGTCCCTCGGCGTTTCCCGTGGCTGGCTGGCTGGCTGGATGGCGCACCGCGAAGGGCAGGTGGACCGACACCTCCTCCCGCTGCAAGCCGCGCGCTTCAGCCGAGGCCGCGGGCGGGGCTGCTACGCCAACGGGCGAGACAGCCCGCCGGCGGGCCCGCCGCGGCGAGCTGCGTCAGTTCGGTGATTGGTGACAGCAGCAAGCCGCACGTGGCGCACACGTTCATCTGGCGGCAATGAGGTGCTAGCGTCAGAAGGCGATTGATGGGCCACGCCGTAGAGGCATTCCGTACGCGACAAACCACCACACTCAATCACCATGGCGTCCCACGACCAAACGCCTACACCCATGCAACAGCACAGCACGGAAGCATGCCGGAGCCCCTCAGGAACCGCTCCTCAGGTCAGAGTGCAGCCTACGTACCGGTGTCGGCCAACTACGACGCCACGTTGCAGAGACCATCGTACCGCGAGTTGCACTTGGTGCCCTGCGGGCACGCAGAGCACGTCCGTCCAGTCCGGTACGTTGGCTTGCTGACGACATTGCCACCAGGCCCGTAATTGCAGTACAGCAGCACCTGGATATCAGCGGCGTTGTTAACTGTCACCGTTTCGGCCCATGCAAACGATGTTTGTTTAGACAATTCACGGAGTTCGGATCATGGGGGTGACTGGGTCATTCTGCGATGACGAGAGAGACACATTTTGCTGGCCGCTGATGGTACATGACGAATAATAATTACGTAATCATTGCATTATTCCTGCTGATAATTCGAAAATTCGCCAATTTATGCAGGAAACGTTACTCACCGCCTCCGAAGATGTGGGTATAGGTGTAAGGCTATCGTATGCTCTCAGGTCATCAGCGAAAGAAGCCAAATTAAACATTCCCAGTTAGAGGCGTTCTTCCATGAGCATGTGCGACCCGGCAATTGATACTTAAACATCACATAGAACGCTTGGAGGCCCTGCTCTTGATGCACAACACCGTTCAATTGCCGTCCCCTGCCGCCCCCACTGCATGCTTACCCGTCCCCTTCCGCCCCCTCCCCCACCCTGCACTGCGTGCTCACTCGTCCGTCCCCGCCCCTACTGCGTGCTCACCTCCGTGCCCAGGCCGCCCTGGTGAGTGACTACGCCACAGCCGATGTAGCGGGTGATGGACCACACCGCCTGGGCGAAGTGGCCGTATGTGCCGGTGTGGCAGCATCCCTGACTGAAATCACGGCACACGTACAAGCGCGATCGCCTCTGCTTAGGGGCGACGACACGCAGTGCTCGCCCTGCTGGGAGGCGGTGAGGTGCGCCGCGCCGACCCCAGCGCAGGTCAACAGCCTAAGGTTAACTCTCGGAGGACAATGATATCGGCAACAATTTTGTGTACGTTTCACATATATGTGCCCATTTGTTATCTCGCAGTTATTTTTACTCGGCGAATTTGGTCTGGATGGCGGACTTCCACGCACTTCTTTATCCTGATTTAAGTTCATAAGTCCATTTAAGTCATATAATGTCCGGCATCGGAAATGAAGTCAATCGTGCCAGCAAGGACGCCTGCTTACTCGAAAGTGTTGACAAAATCCACAGATGCGTGGACGGACTCGGCAAACCAGGTCAGGGCCAAATCCAGCACTTTCTGGTGGAAGTTTTCAACGTCCCTCTGGGAGGTGCTGAATGCCGCGATGTTCTGGCCGACGACGAAGAAGCGTGCTGTAAATGGGGCATACAATTTAAGGGAATGCGTGCGTGTGCACTTCGGCCATGTTTTTGATCATTTCAGTAGCTTGAGTGAGCCCCTTGACCCCATGTCGTTTTAACGGGATGGGGATTGTGGAACAAACGGTCAAACGGGCTTTTGCATTCATCAGCAGAAAAACAGCGTGAAGTGCTCCGATAAGTCAAATACCAATATCAAACCAATTAATCCCATCCCAACCCAACCCAAATAACCCCAACACAAATATAACCCAACCCAACACAAATATAAGAACGTAAGCATCAATTCAAAATAAAGTCATCACATGCAGTGGTGTTGCTTCACCGTTTTGGAAAGCTTTGGGAGCCACTCCGCATCACGTTACAGGTCGGCTATGATTCCTATCGGCCTTACGGCTAGCTCGGCACTCGCTGCAGCCATGGTTTCCAGTGCACTGCTCCGCCTGTGCTTGGGCCGTGGCCGCCAGCTCCTCGTCCCACACCTAGAGAAGAAAACAGGAAAAATAAAATAAGGTTCTGGGTAGGCGTCTGTCGTCCATAGCGGTTAAACACTCGTTATCATTCATATCGTTAGTTATCAGCAAGTGAAAACTACTTTTAAGGCACCGCGAGTTAAAAAAGAGTGTGCTTACCAAAAGGGAATGGCAATGTCCAAAAAAATTACAAATCTCACCTCAATCGGACCAAAAGTAGACTTAACAATGTAAATACCTATTTAGAACTATACGGTTGCCTCCGTACTTCCCTTCCAAAAAAAGATGAGAACGCGATGTATTTCACTGAAACAATGGAGCTCCATCTGGCAGTAAGAAAATGTCCGAGACAGTTTCGGCATCTACACTTCTAGTGATGGACCAGACAGTGGCTTTATCTACCAACAAAATTAGAGGTCAGTCTGTCCACCATCACTGGCTAATGCATCACACGTCACCATGACTGAAGCTCCTTTGATGATCTAGCATCATTAACGTACGAAAATCATGCGTTTAATGGAGAATGTGGGCGGTGAGACCTCCCACACACTATCTCCAGAGCACTGTGGACATCTCGCTCACCGTTGCCAGAACACTGGACCCTCCCACTCACCAGTTTGCAGCATGTCAGCAGCTTGCGGCAGCTTGCCTCCCTGGCCGTCCACCAGGCCGCGGGCCACGCGGCTGCGCATGACGTTGTGCAGATGCACCAAGTCCTGCGCGAGCTGCCGTGACATTCCGCGCTGGTGGACCTGGCCGCAGTTGGGAGACGGCTCGCGTTGCTGGCATAGGAAGTGTTGCTGCGTGATGCGACAGAAGTCGGCGCGCCGCTGGCCGGAGCTGCCCAGCGCGCAGAGCAGCACCAGCAGACCGACGGCAAAGGCAGAGGCAGAGGCCATGGCGAGGCAGAGATCGCACTGCGGGCGATGACGTTCGGAGACCGAATGAGTCGCTGCTGAACGGTGGGCGCCTTTTTGATGTGAGCACCAGTGGGGCGGGTTGCGCCTGCGGGCGATGAGCGCCGCCGGCTGTCCCAGGATCCGGCTCCTCACTCCCCTCCCCAGAGGGGTGCGACGGCTGGCGGCGTGTTTGGATCAGGTCTGGTCCGTAGAGAAATGGAGCAGGCGAAAACAGGCGCTTTGCACCGGCTTTCTCGAGACATGGAGACGGGAAAGAACTGTGTTGCTGGCTGCTTTGCTTGCTCTGTGCACTGGGCTTGAGCAGCCGTAACAGCTAGTATTATACAGAAAATTGTGCCTATTCCAGCATATTTTTCCTTTTCACATCCCTAACGAGCACCTGAGAAGCAGGGCTGTAGGTTGAGAAGCACAAAGCATGTATCGGTAATAGGTAAGCTTTGGCCGTTGGATAGCTGAGTACTCGAACGAAGAGCAAAATGCGTGAGACGACACTACACAATACATCCATACGACAGCACAACGACAAAACTACGAAACCAAAGCTCAACATATCAGGACTCTCGAATGGGTCGTGCTGACCAGGAGGATTTAGACCAGCTTCACAACTAAAGCATGTCTTGCTGCACAGAACAGGGGGGGGGGGGGAGGAAGTCAGGTGGCTGCTGTTTGACAGCCCTACGTACATGGCTGCTCATAAATTATCAATTGGCCGGTTTAAATACTGAAGTTCACACTCACATGATGCTGAAACTGTCCTACGTCCCATGCCGAATGGTATTGTGAGGTAAAAGATATCTAATCAAACCCTAATAACGCAAAATTCCACACCGACCCCCCTTCGGACGGAGTGGCGCTTGGTTTGGCCAGTGCTCGCCGGGGTCGGGGTCAGACTGCGGGCACACCAGAGGGCATAAGGGTCAGACTGCGGGCACAAGGATGGTCGCTAGGATCAGACTGAAGGCACATGGGAGGGCGTTATGGCCAGACTGCGGGCATACGGTAGGGCAATAGGAGCAGACTGCGAGTACACTGAAGTTCATTAGGGCCAGACTGCGGGCACACGGGAGGGTGCAGGCTCAAGCGAACCCGGTCGAAACCCTGCCGAGCAAGGACAAAGTACGCGCCGTCACAAATGCACAATGCGACAAGTACGCGGTCATTCCAGATGTTGAAGGGTGGTAAAGACACCAATCCATTTCAATGCCCAAAGATGTGTACGCTGGCGCCTGTGCTTCTTGAGGTAACTGACCGTGACAGTTAGTCGATGCAAACGTTCTGTCAGTACAGAAAACAGAGCTGGAGTTGGGTCTAAAAAAATATCGGTACGGTCGCACTTCCTCGTCATTATCTTCGACAGACTTCCATCTCGAGCTGCCAAATAACAAACGCGCGCGACAGAACAGCATATGAAGAACAGCGGAACAGCATATGTTTGCGTAGTTGTTTGTGTTGTATGTTGGTGATGGATGCCATGTAAAATACTTCACGGAGTGGCATCATTACGGTCATTGGCATCACATGGCATCGAGTTTTTTTTAGAGTTTTTCATCAGTTTTCTTGACATCATACGAGTGTGATACCACTTTATTATTCCTCCCCTTTCGATTGCCTTAGAGGTACTACCTGTTGCTTAAAATGTTGACCAAATTTTTCTGCAAGATACTACAGCTGCAAACTTGCACGCATTTTATACATAAATTGGGTTTAATTCGCCAGCCACCCAAACATGTTTGATATGCACCCAAGATGTGAACAATTCACAGGGAATGAAGGAGAAATTTGAAGCACGGAACTTATTTTACCCGCCATTTTGCCCTAGTAACCCTCGGTTAACCGTATTTTGGTTCATGGCGGTGCTCAATAATCATAAATTTAAGCCTTTTGGGTGTCTAACTCACCAGGCTACGTGACAAGGCTTATCCTAATGCTGCATATGGAGCTTTGGACAGACCTAACGCAGACTAATACAGAAGTGTTTGACTGCGAAACTCTGCCCTCTGGAAGTGTTTATCATGCACGCCTATTCTTGTTTCGCATTTTGATCTCGAAGATTGGTGGGCATGATTGATATTTATATTTGGGGGGTGAGTGGGATGACTCTGTCTGCCAGCAGACCACGCAAAAGGTATTGACCTTTTTTGTTTGGGAAGCAGAAGAAAGCCAGTGAGGTCTCCTGTCGACCGAGTAATTGCGTACCCTACCTGCCTTCAACACATGATGGCAACCAGAGTTGGCCATATCTGTTCAAATCCATCCAGTTATGTCATAAGACAACTTATGATGCCTCAAAGCATGCAATGGGCTTATTTTGTTCTATCTTCTTGATTTTTTTTACCCAAATTTCTTGAAGTGCTCCCTCATGGCTGCTTCAACCGGATGTTTTCTATATTTGTCATGGTTTGCTGACTGGCAACTGACTGCACTGTATATACGCACTATGTCTTCAACACGGGGTACCCTAAGCTGCATAGCACTTATAGTTTGGGTTAAATACTAGCAAGTAACAAATAGTCAGACCATCCCATTAAAAATGGGAAGCCAACATCTCAAACTTTGTCATTAAATATGACTTTAAAAGTCTAGCTAGATGCCTTTGCTGTAACTGAAAAGGCAAGCAGCAATACCGGCATGGTGATCTAAAATTATGTTACTTTTGGAGAAGAGAGATTGTTTCATGGAGCATACCCATATTGCCCTTGACATAGGCTAACCATGGCAATCAAGATAAGTTGTTAAACGTGATTTAAAATGTTTCGATTCGCGTGTTGTCAACTTTGTCTGACGTCAATAAGCATGCACAAAATCTATATCTTACCAGACCAGCTCTAAAACGCTAAACTCAAACGAGGTTAGTTGAAGCTTGAGTTAACCGTCAAGTTTATTAACGACGAAATCGCTTTCATGTGGATATCCAGCCATGTTTCGACTCGTTATAATGGAAAAGCGGACGCCGTGGCTAGATCAGCTGCTTGTCGAGGCAACCCCCTCCCTGTTTATATACCGGCCCGGACCTAGAGTCTGAAAGCACAGAGCATATATATATATATATATATATATATATATATATATATATATATATATATATATATATATATATATATACAATGAGATATCTAATTATATATTATGTAGTTATATGTAAATATATAGGAACGCATGTCTGCGTGGTGTGTGTGTGTGCATGTGCATGTGTGTGTGCATGTGTGTGTGCATGTGTTGTGTGTGTGTGTGTGTGGTGTGTGTGTGTGTGTGTGTGTGTGTGTTGTGTGTGGGTGTGGTGTGTGTGTGTGTGTGTGTGTGTGTGTGTGTGTGTGTGTCTGTGTGTGTGTGTGTGTGTGTGTGTGTGTGTGTGTGTGGTGTGTGTGTGTGTGTGTGTGTGTGTGTGTGTGGTGTGTGTGTGTGTGTGTGTGTGTGTGTGTGTGTGTGTGTGTGTGTGTGTGTGTGTGTGTGTGTGTGTGTGTGTGTGTGTGTGTGTGTGGTGTGTGTGTGTGTGTGTGTGGTGTGTGTGTGTGTGTGTGTGTGTGTGTCTCGTGACTACTGCGCTCCAAAATAAATTTGAAGGAGGTTGTCCATCCAATCTAGGCCATCAAAGCAATCAGTGGCGAGTGGAAATCATCTTGCCGTGCCAGTAGGTCTGGAGGGTCTGAGGGGTCTGGTTGTGCGGTCTCTTTGCCGTCTTCGGTTGAGACACAAAGACGTGACACATCCACTATATCTATGGGGCCAGGATACGCCACACGGCAGGGATTGTGAGGAGCGCTCGACCGTAGCGCATGTCCTCATTGCGCACCTGCACTGTGCGGCGTATCATCGTCGTTGCTTCACAGCACCACTCTCTCGGCTTTTCGGTCCTAGTAGTGTTGTGACACAGCCGATGTACTTTTCACTTCTTAGTACTTTCTTTGCGCATTGTAGAACTGTCCGAAAGCGCAGGTGTGTGACAAGGAGTTTGCTGTCTTTGAGGAGACCTCGAATGAGTCGTCCGACACAGTTCCGCACCGCATGGCATTCTTACTACGCATTCCTTCCGGACGCGTCTTTTTCCTGTCACGAGGAAAACTGCAACACATTTCAGGTGTCCCCAGGGATGCTCAATTTATTGCTCGGTGTCTGTACATCCTCACTTTTGGCAAGCGAAATGATGCGGCTACGATCTCGCTCCGGGACGCGACTCAAACGCCACCTAGCTGCCGCCGCCGATACTAACGGAAAAAACTGCCGGTGGGGTCGCTGGTGGCGGACGGCCCACAGGTCACGTTTCCGGTGGGTTCCAGGCCTGTCACGTGATCTGTCCCTCGGCGTTTCCCGTGGCTGGCTGGCTGGCTGGATGGAGCACCTCGAAGGGCAGGTTGACCGACACCTCCCGCTGCGAGCCGCGCGCCGGCGGGCCCGTCGCGGCCCGCTGCGTCAGCTCGGTGATTGGCGACAGCAGCGAGCCACACGTGGCGCACACGTGCACCTGGCGGCCACGAGGTGCTAGCGTCAGATGGCGGACACTGAGCCAAGCCGCAGAGACATTCCGTACGCACAAACCACCACGCTCAATCACCATGGCGTCGCACAATCAACCGCCTCCACACATGTAACAGCACAGCACGGCAGCGTGCCGGAGCCCCTCAGGAACCGCTCCTCAGGTCAGAGCGCAGCCTACGTACCGGTGTCGGCCAACTACGACGCCACGTTGCAGAGACCGTCGTACCGCGAGTTGCACTTGGTGCCCTGCGGGCACGCAGAGCACGTCCGTCCAGTCCGGTACGTTGGCTTGCTGACGACATTACCGCCTGGCCCGTAATTGCAGTACAACAGCACCTGGAGAT